GGAATGACCCCGGTCGAAGCATGTAATCCTAGTCACGCTACCGCGGACAAAATTAAGGGGCAATTGAGAAGGAGATTTCATAATCCAGCTTTGGGCCGTGGTAATGACTGGGCTAAAGTTGGTCCGAGCATGTTTGGGCCGAGCTGGGTTGGGCCAATCCAGTGCCAGTGCACTTGGTTAAAGCCCATCTCGGATTTGGCTGGGATAAGTTCTCTACCAGCCCGATTCGCGTTGTTTGGTCGTTGTGATTGGCGTGCAGGATCCTCCGCAGACCGGCCCAACTAAGCAAGAGCTCGGTCATGAAGAAAAAGAGCTGCTAAGCTGAGTCATAACGGAGCTGGGCTCGGAGCGTTGCTTGTCTCGGAAGTAGTACGGTCGCGGGGAGATGGGGTAGTGCCACCGGGCTGTCCGTTCGCGCCAACACCGTTTGGCAGTTTGGTTAGGTGGTGTTTAGCTATATTTGCGTTGACATGTAGGAAAGTGGGATAGGAAAGTAGGTCCACGCATCAAAGGGCGAATAGATGCAAAGGTAAGCGCAGAAAGTATATAAACGTGATTGCGCCCCCCATACTGAGGATGGAACATCTTCTTGTGAGAGAAACTCTAACACATTGTCTTATCTCTCCTCTCTCTTTCTCTCTGAGTGTGTGCTGACTTGACCATTGGAGGGGTTTTCCGGCAACGCATAGCTCACCTTCGTTGTGTTCGCAGGTCGATCGGAGGAAGGCGCAGCATGGACGCGAGGAGTACGGGTGATAACGAATATTTAGCTCCCGTACAATATATATATATATATATTTCAAACAGATATGACACATGAATAAAAATCTTTGAAATTACAGCTGGATCAACTCATGAGATTAAAAAATTTATAGAATTTGTGCATTTCCATATAATCAAGTTAGAGCATTATACACCAATGATTGTTTTGGGCATTGGATTTTGTTCACCAATCTCATCAAAATCTTTCATTTAACACAACTAATTGACAGTGAGGTGGAGGACTAAAAAACAAAAAATTTAATTAACAAAATTTAAAATAACAATCACTTTGTTTAGTTTTAATTTTTTTAAAAAAATTTACTTTCCTATTTTTCATATTTTTATTGTTTTTACTGAATTTTTAAAAATATTTTAAGTAATTTTTTTTTTAATTTTTAGACACACCTAACATAAATATACTTAAAAGTATAATTTTTGTGTAAAACTCTTTAAGAAATTCATTAAATACCAAAAATATAAAGAAAAATACAAAAAATTTAGTATATTTTTTTATTTTTGTGTATTTATTAATTTTAAAAAAATATTTTTTCACAAATATTTTAATTTTTAGATATATCTAAATAAAATATATCTAAAAAAAATACTCAAAAATTTAAAAATATTTACTAAAAATAAAAAATTTAAACCACACCCACTCAATTTAATTCTAGTAACGCATGGTTCCACAGAATTCACGAGGTGGGGTCCATATATAAAACCGACTCATTTGTCTCGTATACATGGTTCATTTTGTATAATAATTTTGGTTCCTATCATTGCTCTTAAAATAATGAGCGGTGTTATTTTAGCTAAAAAATTCGACCAAGGAATTTTAGAAATTTTATTATATTTTTGGATAAATTATTAATAAGTCGTAATAGTTGAATTTAATTTCTATCAAGTCCTATTAAAAATAAATCTTAAAAAATCGTTATTAAAAATAATTATGTGGTAATTTTTTACATGTCGCTAAAAATTGACAATTTTAAAAATAATTATGTGGTAATTTTTTACATGTCGCTAAAAATTGACAATTAATACTTTTTTTTATCATAATTTTTATAAATTATCGCTAAAGCTTACAATTAATAACTTTGTTCATGACGAATTTTTCAAATTGTCGCTGAAAGTTGAAAATTTGCGACTTTGTTTTTGACGATTTTTTTAAACTGTTGTTAAAACTTATAATTAGTGACATTTTTTGTAATAAATTTTTCAAACTGTCACTGAAAATTAACAATTAATGATGATTTTTAATAGTATTTGCTGAAAAACGTCATTAATTCCCACAAGACTTATTGGACAATAAGTCTACCTGTTATGACCTATACGTAAGTCTTCCTAAATTTTTTTACCAAACACTCACATGGGTGTGAGGTCCACACTCATGTAGGTCCCATGAGCAATACTAGGGGCCCAATAAAATTATTAAATTTTGGGTTAATTAAACTTTTACCCCCTAAACTATCATCATTTTGTTTATGCAGTGGCGATTGGTAGCTCGAATTGTTTGGCTCGAAAATGGCCCGACTTCTACAAGCACCCACTTATCTTTGCACACCTCTATTTATTCATCTCAGTTTTTACCATACATTTCATTTCAAATAAAAAAGAAAAAGAAAAGAACAGAGTAGAGAGAGAGAAAGCAGACCCATAAGGTTGGTTCTGGTTCCGACGATTTTCTGTGTTGCTTCCGACGAGGTTGGTGCTGCCGCCGACGAGGCTGGTGCTGCTTCTGTGTGTGCCAACGGTGCTTCCGCTACAGCTCTGTGTGCCGATAGAGGAGAACGAACCACGATGGAGGACGAACGACGGACTGAAACAGCGAACGACAGACGACGATTTACAAATTTGAACAACTCGTGACCTACCTCTGTTCTGGTCAGTAATTTTTTTATTAAAAAAAAAAAATCTTTGACATGCAATTACTAGAACAGAGGTACTGATGTCTTCTAAATTAGCATAGTGCATAACAAGCAAATTGGCAAGGACAAAGGGTTCAATTAACAAATTTATAAATATCAATTTCTCAAGTCACAGAAATCATACTTCATCACCAAAGAATATAATGTAAACATAAATTTCAGAACATAAACCTTACACTTTGGATCATTTACCATGTGTATTATCAAGAAATCAAGACAAAATGACATACTTGAATCCATTGATGAACGGTTAAACGGAAGCGTCTGATTGTCAATAAAACCTTAATATTGACTTTGTTAGAGCCTTCTAATCCTTTCCCTTTGGTGCCTTATGTTTCTCCTTGAGAGGATTTAGAAAAACAAAACAGTATTCTTATTTTTTCACCTTGGGAAGGAATAGGGACCATAACCTTTTAAAGGTTGTAATTGGTTTTCATAACTGAAAGGTAATGAAAACCAATAAATTAACCATTATTGGTTTTAAAACTGAAAGGTAATGAAAACCAATAAATTAACCATTATTGGTTTTAAAACTGAAAGGTAATGAAAACCAACTTTAACCAATATGTTTTAATTTCTATTTCTGCCCTTCATAGAAATAGAAATTATACAACTAGTATCTACACATTAGGTCCATAACACATATACCCTTAAGCCTATTAACTAAATTGAATCACTTAAATTGTAGGCTTCTTATAAATGATAACACCACATTTAATTATGTGGTCCCATTGAGACATTATCTAACATATAACTAAACCAATTATGTAACTTGTTCTTTCTGTCCAAAATTGAAGCATGATTACAAATTCTACACATTTGAGTAGTCCTTTTCACAACACAAAGCAGCAGCAGCAACCCGTCAGCACACAGAGCAGCAGCGAAAGCACTGTCAGCACACACAGAAGCGCCTCGTCTGAAGCAACACAGTAAATCGGCGATGCGGGTCTCCCCTCTCTCTCTACTCTATTCTTTTCTTCTTTTTTTTTTATTTGAAATGAAATGTATGGTTAAAACTGAGATGAATAAATAAGGTGTACAAAGATATATGTGGGTGCATGTAGAAGTCGGGCCATTTTCGAGCCGAAGAATTCGAGTGACGAATCTTTTCTGTTGTTCATGTACTCCTTAAACTAAGGAAAATGTCTCGTAACTCAAATTTTGTGACTCAAAAGTGGCTCAAATGGTCAAAACGACGTCGTTTTGACCTTTTTTATGTTGTTCTGTACTCAAAACGACGTCGTTTTGGCCATTTGAGCCACTTTTGAGCCACAAAATTTGAGTTACGTAGCATTGTCATTAAACTATTAAGAAAAATGCTTGGGAGCACTAATTAGTGCTCCCACTAATTAGGTGGCAATGGGTCCCGTCATTAATGATGTGATGTTTTGGTCTTGGAGTTGTATTTATTTTTATTTATTTTTTATTTTTTTAATGCATTAGTGCTATTAGTGGTGATATTTTTAGTGGGATGAATCATTGTTGATTTAATAATATGTGGGTGCATGTAGAAGTCGGGCCATTTTCGAGCCGAAGAATTCGAGTGACGAATCTTTTCTGTTGTTCATGTACTCCTTAAACTATTAATTTTGTCTTGTTGGTCCTAAGCTATCACATTTCGGTTTTGTTTAGTCCAAATGGTAGATGGTACCAGTTTTGAATCTCATGTGCAGGCCACGTGTTCACCTTTGCCGTTTACAATTTGGATACCACCTACCATTTGGATAAAACAAAACTAAAATGTGATAGTTTAGAGACCAACAAGACAAAATTAATAATTAAGGATTACATAAACAAAATGGTAATAGTTTAGGAGGTAAAAGTGTAATTAACTCTTAAATTTTTTACCAAACCACATGAGTGTGAGGTCCACACTTGTGGGTCTCACACTCATGTGAGTATTTGGTAAAAAAATTGATAGCTTTGTTGGGATCTCTAGCACCCCACACTAATATGAATGTTTGGTAAAAAATTTATTAGAACTCTTGGAATTTAACATTTTTCAAAAAGTTAAATTTACTTTTTAAATTTAACAATGTAACGACCTATTCATATGTTGTCTAATCATCTCTCTCAAGTAAGTTTATAAAGTGAATTTGAATATCATTTTTTTTAAATAATTATAAATTTTGTAAGAGGGATATTGAAATACAAGAATGCCTATGAAAATAATCAATAAATTGATGAGTAAATAATAAGAGAGATTTAAACGTAAATGCTTATAAACATGGAAATTAAAGATTGGAACGTTAGGGGGCTATACAATACAATTACGTAAAAGGAGTGTGAACAGGATGGGAATTGTGATTAATGCTCATCAAACTTGGCCCTTATCAACTTACCTAATCACACCCAACAAATTCACAAGGTCCTTTCTCTCTCTCTCTCTCTCTCTCTGGGTTAAAGGGGTTTCAAGCTTCTTTTCTTTTTACATAGATTCAAGGTATGTTAATTCTGCGATTGAGGTGGGTAGAGAAATTTTATAGGCTATAAATTTTCATCTTTATTTACTTCTCTTATCTTTCCTTTTTTTTTTTTTTTTTTTTGTGTGTGTTTCTTCTTCTTATTCATCTAAATCTTCTGTTGTTTGTAACACGAAGTTTAAAACAAATTTTAATTGCTCTAAATTTATCTTGATGTCATTCTAGTTGTGTTTCATGATCTCTCATTACACACTGTCATTTTTGTAAATAAAAATCATCTTTATTCGTGTTTTGTTTTAAGATCTGTACAGAATTTCTGTATTAATTTTCTGTTTGTATATACAATCTCATTGAATTGCTTAATATTTGTGTTCTTTTTTAAGGCACAATATATTCAGAAAAAATTATGATGTAATTGTAGGAAACTATATGCTTAAATTTTGTTGTGTAGATATGGGAAGTAAGGCACCAACCTGGGCTGATCAATGGGGTGGCATCGACGACGATGATGACAAGCCCGTGAATAGCAGTAAGAAGGGAAGGTTAGGCGGTGGCAGCAGCAAGAAGATGGAAGAGGTGAAGACGGCAGCTTCAGCGGGGTTCGACAAGGCTAAGGCGGCTGCAGTGGTGGGAGCCCAGAAGGTGAAGAGTGGAACCTCTGTGGGAATCAAATGGGTCAAAAACCAGTACCACAAAAAATGCTCTTCTACTAAATGACCATGCTCATGTTTTTTTGCTACACCTCCAAAATAAATTAAGGCTAGAATTGAAATTCTAGGATTTTACTTTTTTTTTTGCTGAATTGGATTGAATGAATACTTAAATTCTATTTTGAGCCATTATGTAAATTTACATTGCCATTTATTTTTTGCTCTAGAATTTGTCATTCTGCTATATGATTATGATTAGGAAAATGTCTCATATCTCAAATTTTGTGACTCAAAAGTGGCTCAAATGGCCAAAACGACATCGTTTTGGCCATTTTTATGTTGTTCTGTACTCAAAACGACGTCGTTTTGGCCATTTAAGCCACTTTTAAGCCACAAAATTTGAGCTACGTAGTATTGTCGTTATAATTATAAACCTCTTTTGAAACTTGGTGTGAGAGTACATGTAAGGATGGTTTGGGAGAGGATTGGACTACAATAGTTCATTAAAAAATAAAATATATTAAAATAGTTAATAAAATAAAATATAAAAATTTATTTCCATGTTTGATTGCGTTTAAAATATAAATAAATTAAGCCCATAAATAGCAGTAAGAGGGTTGGACTAAATTTCAATTTGGCATCTTGGACTCAAGTTTGATTGCGTTTTAGTTCCAGGTTTTCATTTTTTTAAAAAATACAAAATATTCATTTGGCAAACTTTTTCTGAAAACTAATTACAAGAATATTTTTTTCTGAAAGCAACACACTTTTTCATGCTGTAAAGAATTTACAACCATTTAAAGATTTTTTTTAACCAATTCCCTCATTAACCCCTTTATAAAAACACCAAAAAATGTTAATTTTAAAATTTTTGAAACTTATTTTTGCAGAAAAATGAAAATGATGGGTCTTTAAAATTTTAATTATTTTGTTTCTAAAACCACTAAAAAAAAAAAAAAACCACAATGAGCTATGGCGAAGAAGCACCTTTTTTTTTTTTTTATTTTTTTTTTTTGATCAACAAAAAAAAAAAGAACTTTATTGATAAAACAAAAGACTATTACATCAATAAAAGAAAAAGAGGATGGGTGCAAAAGTATCATGATGAACCAAATCAATCCCAACTAGGTTGGCACCGATAAGACCGTCCAATCATATGCTAGCACACTAACAAGTGTTGGTGAGGAACCAACCCAAAACACCAAAACCAACCTCACCCAAGTACAAGCTAACAAAACTAATACAAAAGTGCAACCCAAACTACCAACCATTAAGAAACCAGGGCAACAACAAACAACAGCAAACTGCAACAGCCAACTCCAAAAGATCATTGAACCATATCAGCAGAATCAGACCAACCACAGAGAATATCATCAACAGCAATCAACTAAAAATGATCACTACCCATACAGATCAACAGCAACAATCCATAACAGTAGCAAAAAAACAGAAAAACACAGCAAATACAAAAAGCACCTGATGTACCTCTGCACCAGCACCTAACCAGTTATCTTCCAATACCAACAAAACAATTTGACAACACCAGAGCAACATACAGATTTGCATCCCTATATCTTCTTCATACTCCAACAGACCTCCTATGCCAAACAACCTCTCACCTGCTTCAAATTTGCCATAATATCATGCATTGAGTAATTTATTCCTTTACAATTTGATTTCACCCATAAAGCAACGCTAACTTTCAATAGCTCCACCATCTCAGTAAAATCAGCACTGCCATTACCAAACAAGCAATCATTTCTTAGTTCTCATACTGACCATAGCATGGCCAACGGGACAACCTTCCAAATATCCAACTCCTGCTTTCTAAATTTCATACCAGCCCACCAGTGCAACAACATATCCACTGAACCTGGAGTTAACCTCCGACCAATTAACCATTTTAGACCATAATTTCCAGACCAATGGACATAGAAGCAGCGCATGATTAATTGATTTCACCTCTGCCTTACAAAACACACATGGAGAGCTGACATTGGCTGTTATTGCTCCAATTCTGTGCATAAAATCTGCAGTCTTTATTCTCTCTCTCCAAACTAACCAACTGAAAAACTTAGCCTTTGGAAGAGCATAATTTCTCCACAGAAACTTTGAAATGCTAATCATGGGCCCATTACCTGACTCCAACCTTTTCCATACTGAAGCCACAGAGAACACACTAGAATTATTAGCCATCCATGTACAGGTATCCTCAATCATTTGATTCAGATTAGGTGCTTTAGACAATAATACATTCAGCCTTTTAACCTCCTCATCCTCCCACGCTAAGAGCGATCTTCTAAATACCAGGTGCCAATCATTGTCCTGTCCTCTATTTTGATAGAACATCTGCAATGAGCCTTCTTTCTTGTTGGAAAATTTGAATTAAATTTACTCCATTGGTTGTGTCTCTTGACATGGAAGGGTGTTTCCTTTTGAAGGGTCATAACCTTTCTAAAGAGTCATGAAGGAATCTATAAATTATATCCTCCTCACTTCAATTTAAAAGAAAATTACAATTTTCTTTTTCACTTTGCACTTATTCTTCATATTTTTTTAGTCTAATTTTCCTATAAAAAGAGTACATGCACAGTGAAGTTCGCTAAGCTTACAATAATAGTGTTGCTAGTGCAAGATCTTGATCGTTGTATCCTGGGAAAGAGACGTCCATTGAATCCTAAGCACCAGTGGGAGGACGAATCTGTCTTAAAGAAAGAGTGACACACACTCGACTCGATCAAGTTCATGTTTTATCTATTTATATGTTGTAAGTTTTGTTACGTTATTTTGTCAATTTATTTCAGATTTGGTTTTGCCCAAAAACTGTTTACATATTTTTAAATTATATTTTCCATATAGTTTGGCACTATTTTTCTAACAATCTTAAGACATATTCTAAAATGTTTATGGTTTTTAAGAAAATATAATTTTGATTTTTCCCGACATTAACTAATTTTATGTTAACATCAATCCATTGGTTAGTTGGATGTGTTTGGGTTATAATTTTCAATCTGTGGTCGTAAGAAAATGGGACGGTTTCCATGTGTGAATGTTGAAAGATGCCAATCGGTGTCTTTAATTTTGCACTATAATTGATGCTTGGACCTATCATATTTTCTTTAGAATTAAAATCACTTAAAAATGGGAAGTCATGATGATGAGTTCACCTAGACCAAGATTAGTTTGCCAGGGGAGTTCTCTTGTTTGGCCCTTCCGGATATTTGCCCCATTTGCTATTATGCGTTGTACGAAGGACAAGGGGAGTGCACGTTAAGTCAGATGCAGTGTGGGAGTGGTGGTTTTCGACTTTGTTCTTCGTCCTCCTTCGCCAGATGGCTTATATTATGCCATTCTTGCTCCAATTTGTTTCTAAACTACTAATCTTCCCTATAACAGTTCTTGGATTCTCTTCGGAGAAATTCAGATCGGAGATTTGGAAATTAGTTGGTTCATGGTAAGGATAGGACTGAGTTTAACAATGGCACTTGGTGTCTATCATGATGATTGGTGGAGTCATAGAAGAAAGCTCTTTATGGCAACAAATAGAATAGGAATTAGAAACCGAAACACTGTTTTTATAAATTCCGATAACGGTATTGAAGGCTACAAGATGGTTTTTAAAGAAATAGAGCAGGTATGTAATTTTGTTTTGTAATCTTACAATCTGATATAGTTTTGTTTATGTTGGCTGTTAGTTTGTGGAAAATATATATATATATATATATGTATATATAGTTGTCTTACAGAACCATATAAATTTTACCAACCGGTACAAAAGCTCTGCCGATCATGATATTAAAGGGAACTAACAAGTATAATATATATAGTTACTGTTAAGATAAATTGATAGAGAGAGATACAGAGAGAATGAATTATGTATTGATTTATTGATGTATTGAATGTTGTATATTACAATTCCTATATATAGAAGAGAAGATGGTAGTAGGTGTAGGTGGTAGTGGAGGTGGTAGGTGGAGTGGTGGAATACAATCACATGGACCTCTCTTATTCATGGGTATTCCTTGGTTCATGATGTTAAATCGGTTAGTAGAATGACTCATCATTTGCATAAATCTCATGAAAAATTTAATGAGCACACTTGTTCAGTAATTTTGAGGGCGTGTGAGTCACCGGACGAAAGGATTTGTGATGAACATATTCATGGTCTTGCCATAAAAAACGGGTTTTGTGATAATGTTTTGTTGGAACTTCTTTAGTTTCTATGTATTCAAGAAGTGGCCACTTGGATGATGCAGAGAAATTGTTCAATGAGTTGACTTACAAAGATGTTCGCTATTTGAATTTTTATGATTAAAGTTTAATTGAAAATTTATTTAAATTATCATGTTTAAATATCTCCGGTGATCCAGATTGCGTTGATATTGCACGAATACTACTACCACAATCAAACAAAAGTTATTTACACATTTTTTTTCTCATAATACTCCAAAAGCAATTCATTGATGATGTCTTCATCACAAACACAAATTAATTGAAAATTGATTGAGGAGTCTTTTGTGTTGATTATTGTTTTTTAATAATCAATTGAAAGTTATTTTTAAAGTAACTTTGAATTTTGTGAGGTAGGTTGTCTTCAATCTTTATTTCACTTGTGTGGTAGACTTGGTTTAATCATGAATCATGTTCTTAATTTGAGAGTTTATCTTTTGAATTAAAAGAGATAATTCCATTTTTGTCCCAAATATTTTTGAATGAGTTATTATTTGTGACAGTGTCACTTGTCTGGAAATGAATCATGTTGTTTGTACTAATTTTTGTATTATCACAAATGTGGGAGAGAGAGATTAATGGGGAAATTATGATTATGATTGACTTGTTAATCTTGTCCATGTTTACATATGTTGTAGAGTTGACAATTAATAGCATCATCTTTTTATTTTTATTTTATATGATATCATTAATATCAATTTGGTATGTGGTGTATTATAAATGGATGTCAATTATTTATCAAAGTATTGATAAAAATGTGAACCTATGTGTTTTGACATAAGAGGAATTTTAACTATTCTTTGGAATAATGACTAAAATTGGTGTAGTGACTGATCTGTAATGAAATATTATATGAGTTAAAATATTTCATGGGTAAAAAACACTTTGGTAATTGTCGATATAGTCACCAATATTGGATAAGACAAATAAGATGTAAATGTATTTATACAGTGATATTTATATTCCATGTTGAACTTGGAATTA